TTTTTTTTTTTTTTTTTTTTTTTTTTTTTTTTTTTTTTTTTCTTATCTTACAGAGCGAGACAGATTGCATTGGAGGAGGAGTTTGATCTGATGTGTGCCATTGCTCATAGTGACAAACCCACACATGATTAACGCCCAACTCTGCATTAATGAATGCAGGTTCAGTAACTGTTGAAAACCAAGAACCCGTGACACTAGAGCGCGGGAGCTGTGAGGATGAGCAATGTCACTGGTTCTCAATGTTATTTTCTTGGAGCTCTTTAAAATGAATGCCTACTAGCAACCCGTTACACAATTTTAAAAGAACATCACTGACATTAGAGGTAATACATTTGTATACAAGAAATATATTTACTTTTTCAAAGGGCCAGTGTGTAGCATGTAGCGGCATCTATTAGCTGAAGTTGAATATAATGTTCATAACTAGGTTTTCTTTGGTGTATAATCACCTGAAAATAAGAATCGCTGTGTTTTCGTTAGCTTAGAATGGGCCCTTCATAATTACATAGGGAGCGGGTCCTCTTCACCGCCATGTTTCTACAGCAGCCCAGAACGGACAAAACCAAACACTGGTTTTTACTCGACCTAAAGGCCACCGTAGTTCTACATGCTTAAATTAAAGCAAGGGGTAAGCGGAGCAACTGGACGCAATCTGCAACCTCACCACTAGATGCCACTAAATCCTACACACTGCTCCTTTAATCCATTGAATCCTGGCCCTCTGCAGAGCACCATCTCTAGTAACCTTCTGCTATCACTGCTATGGTGAATATTAGATTATAATAATAACTGTATATACTATTTTGCGATTAATTAAGTGATCTGGCAAACTGTAAACTAAACTTTTGGTTAAAGGTCATTCTCAGAACATTTTTATTTGTTTTTTTTACATGTGAAACACAGACCTACCTTTATTGTAATACATTATATAATGCCATTATATCATAACAGTGAACATAAATCCTCAGTGTAGTACAGATGAGTTGAGCTTCAGATCCCACATTTCAGAGCGACTAAGGTGATTGTCTCCCGTTGTGCTGCCCAGGTTGGCCCTCTTGTGGTACCACACAGTAGTGCTGCCTTTTTTTGCTCTGGATGGCTCGGATACACACGAGGGGCTGCAGGAAGCCAAAGCTATTCTGCAGAGGAAGTCGGTGGTTTACCCCAACTCATCCCTCTTCATGTTCTTCAAAGGACGGGTTCACAGGCTAGAGGTAATGTGCTGCCGGCTCGGGGTTGCAAACAACCAGTGACGGATCAGCCAAACGTTAACTTTTCAAACACAAATGAGCTGGCGTGATCTCTTCAATGTCTCATCAACATCCAATGTGCTCTCTCCTCTGTCCGCAGTGCCATATCAACAGTGCTTTAGCCTGTTTCCATGACGCTTTAGAGCTCGCATCAGACCAAAGAGAGATCCAGCACGTGTGTCTCTATGAGATTGGTACGTGATCGCCCATCAGGTTAGTTGTGACATGCTGAAACCCAGCAGCGCAGGGAGGGACTCATTCTGTCTCCGTCTGCTCGTCTTTGCTTCAGGTTGGTGTAGCATGATAGAGATGAGTTTTGAAGACGCATTCAGGTCGTTCGAAAGGCTGAAGAATGAGTCGCGTTGGTCGCAGTGCTACTACGCCTACTTGACTGGAGGTAAGCCCGTCACACACCAAATGAACGTTGTTTCTACTCTGTATTTTTTATATTTTTATTATCTCCTTTTGTGTCCCCCCCCCCCTCCCAGTGTGTCAGGGTGCTTCGGGCGACCTGGACGGAGCAAGCGGGGTTTTCAAAGAGGTGCAGAAGCTGTTCAAGAGAAAAAACAACCAGATAGAGCAGTTTGCTGTCAAAAGGGTGGGTTACGCTGCAGATTTAGACTTTTTTCTCTCTTTCAAAGAGTCATCCCAAGTGTGTCACAAAAGTCACCCCCCCCCCCTTCCTCTGTCTGGTTTCCATCTGCAGGCTGAGAGATTGAGAAAGATCTCGCCCACCAGAGAGCTATGCATCCTTGGCGTAATTGAAGTGCTGTATCTGTGGAAGGCACTTCCGAACTGCTCCTCGTCCAAACTGCAGATAATGTATCAGGGTAAATGTAACCTTCAGGTTTCATGGTAACATGTGCTAGCTGCAGCCGGATTCCTATGAATTTCTTTCCCCCCCGGTGTGATAATGTCCTCTTTACGCCTCTTCAGTGTTACAGAGTCTAGATGAGGGTTCGTGCAGAGGCCTGAAACATCTCCTTCTTGGTGCCATTCACAAATGTCATGGGAATATGAGAGATGCAGTTCAGGTATCAGTCTACATTCAGCACTGAATGACTTTGCGGTAAGTCGACACTTTGAATGTCACTCAGCTTGCTCTCCTGTCCATTTTACATGCGATCCAGTCCTTCCAGCTGGCGGCCAGAGATGTGTACGGACGGCAGATCAACTCATACGTTCAGCCGTACGCCGTCTACGAGCTTGGATGTATACTCCTTGCAAAACCGGAGGTTAGTCTGCTGCATGCATACAGCATTCACATTTTGATTTTGATTTTGATTGTACCGATGGGAACACATGCTCAGTTATAATCTGGTCTTTTTTTTTATATCGCAATCCAGACTGTGGGAAAGGGAAGATCATTGCTACTTCAAGCCAAGGTAAAATATTTACATAGCAATCAGCTAAATTAGAACTCGTATGAATTTCCCAGATAATGTTAGAATTATATTACATATTATAAGTGACTGTCCATCTACCTATCTACCTATCTATCTGTCTGTCTGTCTGTCTAAAATGTTTTAGGAGGATTTTACAAACTACGACTTCGAGAACAGGCTTCATGTCCGCATCCATTCAGCCCTGGCTTCTTTGAAGGAAGTAGTGCCTCAGTGACTCCAGGAAGGGAAGCTACTATAGCTCAAGCTATGCTTTTGGCTTTTTACACCACCAAAGTTTTAAGCTATTCAAGATAACTGTATGGCGTCCCTAAACCCAGTGAGATTGTCATGAAGTGTCATCTCTGTGCATTTTGGGATGTGCTAGTAGCTTAGCACAAATTAGATGGAAATGGCTAGCCTAGCTGTGGCTACCAAGTTGAAATCTATGGCTAACAACTCCAAAGCTATGATACCTTTAGATATCAGACGTGTCTTGTTAGCCAGCAAGCTAGTCCCCAACTTGTCAAGCCCACTAATGGGACAGGACTGTTGAGACAATGCACGCCACGAAGCAGTTACTGGTGAAAAAATAGCTTCAACTGCTTGTTAAACCACAAGGTTTTGCATTTCTCTTTTATGGCGTTTCATACATAGTATACCCAGTATAAATATGATATCCTTGGGGTAGTTGGAATGTGCAATTTCCTTCTATTTGGCAGAGCTGAGCTAGCTCTTTCCCCTTGCTTCCTGCCCTAGCGCTAAGCTAGGCTGAACACGTCCCTGGCCTATTTATGAACAAGATGCACAGAGGTGAAATTGATATCAATCCATGACTCTGGGCATAACAACAAAGAAGCATATCTCTCCAGATCTCTAACTGTTCCTATGAGTATTTTCTTCGCACCCAAATGTATTAGCTAGCTAGTAACAATTTTCCTCATTAGCGTGTGTATATGGAGGACTTCAGTAATGCCTTTCCTTCCCTTCAGTGAGTAATCCAGCACATACAAATAATGTTTTAATGAGATTTATTAGATATATTTCCCTTAAAAATAACGTTACAATGAGTAATAAAAGACACGGGTATTAGTGTTTTCCCATTCTTTAAAATGCAGATGACATTTGACCTTCAATAATAATCACATATTAAAAAGACAAGGGAAATAATTGTCAAATTTTATATTTACTTTGAGATATTCTTATAAAGGACTCCTTACTCCATTTTCCTAATTCAATTTTCAGACAATGCAAATGGGCGTTGAGTTACATCACGAAGGGGTCACTTGTAAACTTGTAGTCAAATGAGTTACCATGGGAATAGTCAAGTAACATTACACACAGTTACAGCTCGGCTGCTGTGAGTTAGTCATTCACATTCAAGTAGTTAGACATTATAGCAACTGAGAAATCACCACACTCCACAATGCCCTAATGATGTTTTTTTAAAATGTGAAACCACCGGGCATTGATCCTGTGCACTATGCAGGGTAAACAGAGGCTTTAAGACGATATTGAAGTCAAATATACCCGTATGTCCATCCCTGCAAATACATACAGTGGGTACGGAAAGTATTCAGACCCCTTTAAATATTTCACTCTTTGTTTCATTGCAGCCATTTGCTAAAATCAAAAAAGTTCATTTTATTTCTCATTAATGTACACTCAGCACCCCATCTTGACAGAAAAAAACAGAAATGTAGAAATTTTTGCAAATTTATTAAAAAAGAAAAACTGAAATATCACATGGTCATAAGTATTCAGACCCTTTGCTGTGACACTCATATTTAACTCACATGCTGTCCATTTCTTCTGATCCTCCTTGAGATGGTTCTACTCCTTCATTGGAGTCCAGCTGTGTTTAATTAAACTGATTGGACTTGATTAGGAAAGGCACACACCTGTCTATATAAGACCTTACAGCTCACAGTGCATGTCAGAGCAAATGAGAATCATGAGGTCGAAGGAACTGCCCAAGGAGCTCAGAGACAGAATTGTGGCAAGGCACAGATCTGGCCAAGGTTACAAAAGAATTTCTGCAGCACTCAAGGTTCCTAAGAGCACATTGGCCTCCATAATCCTTAAATGGAAGAAGTTTGGGACGACCAGAACTCTTCCTAGACCTGGCCGTCCAGCCAAACTGAGCAATCGTGGAAGAAGAGCCTTGGTGAGAGAGGTAAAGAAGAACCCAAAGATCACTGTGGCTGAGCTCCAGAGATGCAGTAGGGAGATGGGAGAAAGTTCCACAAAGTCAACTATCACTGCAGCCCTCCACCAGTCGGGGCTTTATGGCAGAGTGGCCCAACGGAAGCCTCTCCTCAGTGCAAGACATATGAAAGCCCGCATAGAGTTTGCCAAAAAACACATGAAGGACTCCCAGACTATGTGAAATAAGATTCTCTGGTCTGATGAGACCAAGACTGAACTTTTTGGCGTTAATTCTAAGCGGTATGTGTGGAGAAAACCAGGCACTGCTCATCACCTGCCCAATACAATCCCAACAGTGAAACATGGTGGTGGCAGCATCATGCTATGGGGGTGTTTTTCAGCTGCAGGGACAGGACGACTGGTTGCAATTGAAGGAAAGATGAATGCGGCCAAGTACAGAGATATCCTGGAAGAAAACCTCTTCCAGAGTGCTCTGGACCTCAGACTGGGCCGAAGGTTCACCTTTCAACAAGACAATGACCCTAAGCACACAGCTAAAATAACAAAGGAGTGGCTTCGGAACAACTCTGTGACCATTCTTGACTGGCCCAGCCAGAGCCCTGACCTAAACCCAATTGAGCATCTCTGGAGAGACCTGAAAATGGCTGTCCACCAACGTTCACCATCCAACCTGACGGAACTGGAGAGGATCTGCAAGGAAGAATGGCAGAGGATCCCCAAATCCAGGTGTGAAAAACTTGTTGCATCATTCCCAAGAAGACTCATGGCTGTACTAGCTCAAAAGGGTGCTTCTACTCAATACTGAGCAAAGGGTCTGAATACTTATGACCATGTGATATTTCAGTTTTTCTTTTTTAATAAATTTGCAAAAATTTCTACATTTCTGTTTTTTTCTGTCAAGATGGGGTGCTGAGTGTACATTAATGAGAAATAAAATGAACTTTTTTGATTTTAGCAAATGGCTGCAATGAAACAAAGAGTGAAAAATTTAAAGGGGTCTGAATACTTTCCGTCCCCACCGTATATAAGGTATTATAATACAATACACTCTTTAGTGTAATGTTACCATTGAAAGGTTCTGTTAAATGTCAGCCAAATAAACATATATTACTAGTGACTTCATTTAGTAGTGTTTCAGTGATAAAACCTTTTGAATTAGTCCATAATAGTGACAAGTTTATTTATTATTTAAAATAAGTACTTTTGCCAGTGTCATTTACAGTATGCTATTTTAGTTTGAAATCCTGTGATGGCCAGCAGGATAGACTGCAGCGTTGTGATCAAGCTGATTCAAAAGTAGGATCTTGAATTGGACAAAGAATAATATCTCTGCGATGAGAGGGATTTCAACAAGTCTTCTCTACACAGTTCCACACTGTACATAAGAATCATTCTGTTCAGGGTATTACTTTTTATCAATGAGCACTCATGCGAGCAATATAAACAAAAGGAGGGCATCTTACAGTCATTTACAGACGCTTTTAACAATAACTGTTTTTCATCCCATGTTCAAGCTTGTGGACATATAGATTCCTAAACTAAGCTGGCATCCCCTGTGGCTGTGATGGGTGTAAACCGTGGTAAATGTTGAGGTGACCACTGTGCAAGTGGTCAGTGCGGTGCAAGTGACGTAACGGTGAAATGTCAGTTACCCCAACTTTCTGTACCAAATACTTCTGTCACTGAAAGTTTTTCCTTTTGTAATCAGATTTTGTTGAAATTGGGGTTACGTGTCCGAATGATGGTATTCCAGTATGTCAGTGAACTCTACAATAAACTGTTCTCCATTAATCTAGCCAAAATGTGTGGTATATGTCTTTACCTCTGGGTGCTTTTTCGGTTGAAATTGCTCTATGGACATTTGATGTCGGACGTGTCAGGTTGGACGCCATAATGTGCAGGAATTCACATGAAAAACCCCATTTATTTACTAAAACCACTCTAATCTTCTACGCTTTCAACATTTTTGATATTTTTGTTGAAATTATCATTACATCCTGACAGCAATCAATTAATCAAATGCTCTGACATTACATTTTATTCCACTTTAAACTCCACTCATTTCAGAGGGTAATATACTTCTTCACACTTTAGTTGAGATTATCAATGCAAATTATTAATTATCAAGAAATAGTGATACATCAAGATGACGATTATCGCTACAATGGTTATTGTGTTTATTATAGATTAACCCATAAGAACCCAAACCCATGTTTCATTAAAATAAAATGATAGGGGATATAAAACAGACTAAATGGATCACACAGACCACATTTATGAAAATATTTTCTAAATACTACGCCCTAGAGGCAAAGATCTGAAATGTTACATATATGTCACATTGGGCATTTACGTATAAATGTATTCCTCATATGAAAATGAATCAATGTGGTAACAAAGATATTCCTTTTTATTTTCATTTTCACAACACACATCTAAATTATAACTTTTATGGTTAGGTTTAACCAAAACATCTATTTCACATTTGTTTTCCAGGACAGAAATGTTCAGAGCATCCTGAACACTGCTGCCAATAAAATAATGACTTTGAAACAGGACTCAAATAGGATAGTTGCATCTTGTTTGTGTCTTTTATTTACTGATATGCAAAAATTTGTCCATAATACATTTGACTAATAATTTATTAAATTTGACATTATTTTATGATTACATTTGTTTAAATGTTTTGAATTCAACAACAGAACATATTTTAATCAAATTCATAATTGAATCAGCTGAATGAGTTGAGCAGCTCATTATTTTTCTTATTGTGAGAAAAGCCTGATGTATTTGTAATATTTTCATAACTTGTTATACATAAATTAGTTTGATAAACATGGTTAGAATAGTTTAGATGTAATGTAGGACGTGTTATCAAATCATTAGAATTGTTAAATTACTTACCTTTAGCAACAAAAACAAGCCTTTTGAAATGAGCTAGTTCTGTCAAATGAGCTGACCAGCCAGGCAGCCATTTTGGAAGTGATGTCATGGGTACACAAATGATTCACCAGTATGTTCAGTATGTGTCACTCCAAGAGTTACAATCAAGGATGAAACTGTATAAGGAACTTTCCAGGATATTTAAAGTAGCTGTGACACCTGTGTCACCGTGGACCAAGCAGCAGTATCTGAAGTTGAGAAGAGCCAACTCACTGAACCATGTTAACAGTGTGACTGCACAGTAACCAATAGAAATGTCTGCAGGCAGTAAATAGTAGAACACAGTGAGCTCTTATAGTTTGAAGTTCAAACAATCTGCAGCCCTTCATGAGTTGTTCATAGAGGCAGATATTCTTCTGATCGGGGATATCTTGTATCTGTTTAATGGTGTTCGTTTTAAGATATTATAGTATATTAAAGTGTAAATTTACATTCAGAGACGGCGTTTTATTCCATTCTGCCTACATGCAATTAATGTTTGCATATTTGACATTGACTTTAGATTTTGCACTCAGTTATTAATATTTTCAATGTGAATTTAACTTAACCTTATTTGCATTTCTGTACCTCTTTTTGTAATTACTTTAATCAGTCATATTTCCATATTCTCCCTTTTCCTCTTTCCTCAAGCTTCTAGCGTGAGGGGCGTGTCCATGTATGACTGACAAAGATGGGTTCTGCCACCAGATGGAGCCAAATGTAAGACTTCATCATCTGTTGTTTTACACTGCAGGGTCTCATTCTGTGCCATCCCAGGCTTGTTGATAATTGGAGAAATGAATCAGTTATATTTGTTGCCAGTGAACCACCAGAGGCACTTTGTTTGGGAAGGCAGCTTTATTTATAGTGCTGAAACTCAAAACGCTTCACATTTAAAAGAATAATAAAAGAACAAAGAGACAAAAAATAAATAAATACAAACAAAATAAACATCAAGCATTGGTGTAACAATAAAAGAAAAAAACATTTATACATACACCCAATACCTACACACACACCTATGTACATACATACATACATACATACATATTCCCAATACTTGGTATTTAAAATGCAGGATGCCAAAGATACCAGGATCAATCCTCTAAGACTTGGTAAAAGATGGTAAAAGTTTCTTCTTCTATGTATTTTGACTCTCGATGATCTATCAGAGTCCAATATGAGCCTGTCATGGAGTTTTCATCCCATTTCACCTGAAAACAAGCTGTGATCCTCAGAAATACTGTCTTACCTTCAGCCATCTTGGCGGCCTGGCTCCTGGCCCTCTTTCTCTTTACTCCCTACACAAAAACAAACACGTTAGACTTTCCATCTGACATGAGCTGATAAAAGCAAGACTGTTTCTGTGACTTGGTTTCATAAGCTCTAGTATTCTGGTGTTAACATGAGTTGTACATACGTAATTGTTGCTGAATGACCAGTCAGGGTGGCGCTCAGCATGTAGACGTCTCCCTATCTCTGCCTGTTTTTGGTATTTGGCCTGCTCATCGTTGGACAGAGACTTCC